AATTTAATTTAATTTAATTTAATTTAATTTAATTTAATTTAATTTAATTTAATTTAATTTAATTTAATTTAATTTAATTTAATTTAATTTAATTTAATTTAATTTAATTTAATTTAATTTAATTTAATTTAATTTAATTTAATTTAATTTAATTTAATTTAATTTAATTTAAATTTAATTTAATTTAATTTTAATTAAATTATTTTTTGTTTGTTTGTTTGTATTGTTAATATCCATTATTCCAAATAGTAATTCTCATGACTTGAAAATGTTTTACTACACTGCACTTAAAATGGCTTCAATAAATATAGATGTACATAAAATAAAGTTTTAATTAAAACCAGCATAAATTAGCAGTAGAGCAAATACAAATACTATACTAATAATATACCGTGTATATACATACATATATATATATATATATATATAAATAAATATATGTGAGTGTGTGTGTGTGTGTGTGTGAAAATATTACATAATATTCATTAAATGACAAATACGTACATGCATTTTATGAAATATTCTATTTAGCACAAGTTAAAAAGAATAAATTATTTATTGCGTCTAAATAAGACAAAATAGGCTCTCAAGATAATGCCCCAATGCAAAAAAATCTTAAAAGCCCTTAATAGGCTTAATTTTACAATAATTTTTTTTCGGTCACATTAAACCAGAGAATAGCCTGAACACCCTCACAATGGTAAAGAACTATGGTATTAAATGATTAATGGCACAGACTCTATGATTATCATATTCATATACCATTGCATTTGCATGGCACTTCAAAGGTACTGTTATTTAAATTAAAAAAATAAAAAATAAAAATCCTGATGTTACCATTTTGGTAGGGTTAAAAATATTTACATCCTTAACAGAAAATCTTGCTGAAGGACACAGCAGCAGCGTAGACCAATCTAACAATCTTGAGGTTGAAGCACACAGATCTTTAACTGCTAATTGAATCGACCTCTATCTGCATGAGTGAATAGCTTAAGGCTCCATTAGACTGATCCTGGACCAATTTTGCAATTTTCCCTTTACAACGACTCCATTTAGGGATTGTGTGGAAAAGCTGGATCAGCATCTGACACGGAAAGACTGAATAATGCGTTGTTACAGCTTTGTGAGCAATGCAGTGGAGTCAAACATTTGTGTAGAGAATAAAACTGCCTGGAGATGATTATTCATCATAAATGTACAATGTAGTCCAAGCAGTTACTTTGCAACTGATAGCAAACAGCATGAGAAAGCCAATATGTTTGCAGCTGTATTACAATCAATACATTTTTTTTGAGTCCCATTTATAATTTCAGTTTGATTGCCTGTGGTTATATTTTATATTTTGGCAACAGGGAGTGGGAAAGTAAAATAACAGTGTAAAACCCACACACTTTACCTTGTTTCCTCAATATAGACCGATTCCAAAACAGTGGCAGCATATTCCAGGTTTTTCTTCAGGTCCACGAGAGACGCCTCTCCTCTCTCCAACTGTTTTACCAAACATCGTAATCTGCAAAACAAGCACATGCACATACATTAATTCTAAAACACAACTGAATGGCTGTTTATTTTACAAAGCAATTATCTGCGAGCACCAGCCAGCATCAGCGTGACAAATTCAGTGCTTGATTGTGCAAAACAAAGATCAATATCAAATTTCCCTCCCTGAAAACATAAAACATAAATCCTGAAATGCAGAAACATGAAACTACTTCTACATTATATACATAAAAAACGAATGCATCAGCAAGGACGCATTAAATTGATCAAAAGTGACAGTAAAGACATTTATTATAATAAAATAATTATACTTTTGAACTTTATATTCATCAAGAATCCTAAAAATAATATAAAGCAGCACAACTGATTTCAACAGTGATAATAATAATAAATGTTTCTTGAGAATCAAATCAGCATATCAGAATGATTTCTGAAGGATCATGTGACACTGAAGACTGGAGTAATGATGCTGAAAATTCAGAATTGCATCACAGGAATAAATAATATTTTCAAATAGAAAACAGTTATTTTGAATTTAATAAATTTTTCACAATATTACAGCTCTTATTGTATTTTTGATCAAATAAATGCATCCACAGTGAGAATAAGAGAAAATACTTTAAAACTGTATTTTAAGGTGCCCTTGTTACAGTGCATTTAAGCACTGAGTAATATTATTTGACTACTATATGGTTAGGTTTGAGATTAGGGTTACTTGCATGCAATTATGCATCATTTATTGTTATTATAATAGTAAGTACATGTAACGTGTAAAAACTGACACCTTAAAATAAAGTGTTACCTAAAAATCTTACCAACCACAAACCTTCAAACTCTCTCATGGCAAACTGACTGAAATCTTTATTTGCTGTAGATGTTCTGAAGTGTCTGCAGAAGCTTGTGTTTGTACAACTGAGCTTGATTAATTGAGCTTTTAAGGCCGATTGATTAACTGAAGCTGTTAGTCTTATCAAATCCATCTTCAATAACCCTCTTCCAGGAAAGACTTTCAAGACAAACCACTCAAATGTTCTCTGGTGCTTGATGTGTCTGTTAAAACAATTAGACTGTCTGAGGACATTTTAATGGAGAGCAAAAACTATATCATTAAAAAAAGGCAAAATTATAAGCATTAGTCAGCTAAATGGACGAATGACGAATGGTTATGCTTTTTAAATAATACAGTCCTGGGGTCACAACATGACAGGTCAGATTATTGAAATCTCTGGTAAGATGCAAAGCAATTTATTGATGAGTGCTAAAAGGTCAGAGATTCAGTCGATTCATTGGTTTGAGATTTGTTCACATTGCTCCCAGATATGGCGTTGAAACATTACCACACTGATTTGATCTGTCTGTGATCCTATAGGGACTGCTATGTGTGGTAGTTTGTTACCCTGTGGTAATTTCCCTCAGGGTAACTATCACATATTTGCATAGACTGTATTTATCTGACATTCATATGTTAAATGTGTGGGCATTACAGAAGCACAAACTGCAGCTGCGTCCCACCTGTGTCCACCGGCACAGGTAGTGCTTTCTACCGTGAAAGTGATTTCACACCAGTGAGGCGGCTGGACAGCTGTCACCATGACAATCACACAGCGACGACGTGCCATCGATGCTTTAGGGTCAATGCAATCACACAGGAAGATTAACATTTTCCACTCAATGATAATAATAATAAATGTTTCTTGAGAATCAAATCAGCATATCAGAATGATTTCTGAAGGATCATGTGACACTGAAGACTGGAGTAATGATGCTGAAAATTCAGAATTGCATCACAGGAATAAATAATATTTTCAAATAGAAAACAGTTATTTTGAATTTAATAAATTTTTCACAATATTACAGCTCTTATTGTATTTTTGATCAAATAAATGCATCCACAGTGAGAATAAGAGAAAATACTTTAAAACTTTATTTTAAGGTGCCCTTGTTACAGTGCATTTAAGCACTGAGTAATATTATTTGACTACTATATGGTTAGGTTTGAGATTAGGGTTACTTGCATGCAATTATGCATCATTTATTGTTATTATAATAGTAAGTACATGTAACGTGTAAAAACTGACACCTTAAAATAAAGCGTTACCTAAAAATCTTACCAACCACAAACCTTCAAACTCTCTCATGGCAAACTGACTGAAATCTTTATTTGCTGTAGATGTTCTGAAGTGTCTGTAAGAAGCTCATGTTTGTACCACTGAGCTTGATTAATTGAGCTTTTAAGGCCGATTGATTAACTGAAGCTGTTAGTCTTATCAAATCCATCTTCAATAACCCTCTTCCAGGAAAGACTTTCAAGACAAACCACTCAAATGTTCTCTGGTGCTTGATGTGTCTGTTAAAACAATTAGACTGTCTGAGGACATTTTAATGGAGAGCAAAAACTATATCATTAAAAAAAGGCAAAATTATAAGCATTAGTCAGCTAAATGGACGAATGACGAATGGTTATGCTTTTTAAATAATACAGTCCTGGGGTCACAACATGACAGGTCAGATTATTGAAATCTCTGGTAAGATGCAAAGCAATTTATTGATGAGTGCTAAAAGGTCAGAGATTCAGTCGATTCATTGGTTTGAGATTTGTTCACATTGCTCCCAGATATGGCGTTGAAACATTACCACACTGATTTGATCTGTCTGTGATCCTATAGGGACTGCTATGTGTGGTAGTTTGTTACCCTGTGGTAATTTCCCTCAGGGTAACTATCACATATTTGCATAGACTGTATTTATCTGACATTCATATGTTAAATGTGTGGGCATTACAGAAGCACAAACTGCAGCTGCGTCCACCGGCACAGGTAGTGTTTTCTACCGTGAAAGAGATTTCACACCAGTAAGACGGCTGGACGGCTGTCACCACGACAATCACACAGTGACGGCATGCCATCGATGCTTTGGGGTCAATGCAATCACACAGGAAGATTAACATGTTCCACTCAACATTTTGACAGCTGCCTGCAGATAAAAAGGAAAACCCAAACCCCAACCCCACACCTGATCGCAAATCACACACTTAAACCTCAATCGAACCCAACACGAAATAAAACACTAACATTTCAGTTGTGTCAGATCAGAAGGCTACTTTTTTGTAGTACTACTTTTCAAAGGTTGCTCAATTAGTTTGAGACTTAAATGACATCTTTCTTAGGTCTTTTTCTGCCAAGCCTCTATTTGCTCTTAATTTAATCTCAATGACTACGTTTACACGGACATCAGTAATCTAATTATTTACCTTATTCTGAATAAGACAATATTACGATTAAGGTGTTTACATGAGTTGCTTTTAGAATATTCCTTTCATGTTCCCGTTTTACATGTTACAGTACATAGATAGATTAATGGCATGCGTCATTACGTCCCCACGTGACGCCATCCAACGTCCCCTCCGGAATTTCATGTATAAACATATAGTTCGTCTTCATTATGTTTTGGGTGCTTAATTTTTAATTTACCGAAAGCTTCAAGTGCAGTTAATTATTTGTCATGTTATACGTGCAAACAGACGACGGCGTTGTTGAAACCATTCTTTTGTTTGCCGTCAAACGGTTGAGCACTGCGTGTGTATCCTGTTGCAAAATGCGGTGAAAAGTCCTACACGACGGTAATAATGTGATTAAGGTGTGTACATGTCTTTACTACACTTAAATAATGCGACTAAAATAGGAATACTCCACATCAGTGTTAATTTAGTTGACAAAATAATTTTCGTCAACAACATTTTTTTCACTGACGACAACGAGACGATAAAACTCTTTTTGAATGACAAAAACTTATGACGAATATTTATTGACATTTTCATCAGCGAATAAAAACGAGACGAAAATGTTGGGGAGGGACGATTTGGGAAGAGATTCATTCAGAATGAATCTGCTGCGTGGTTCGGAGGTTAGATGCGTACAGAGTACTTAATCAGAGTATTGTCTTAATCGTATTAAAATCGGAGTATTGTTGTCCATGTAAACATACTGATTGCTATCTAGGAAAAAAGTTGAAACAATTTAAAATGAAAACAATCAATGTTATTTTAGTATCATTTATTTAGTATTGCAGTTCTTGGTAATATGTTTTGTTGAATATTTGTTCATTTCCAATTTTTTTATTTAGTTTTCACTTTAATATGAGTTTTTATGAAATTTTGTCATTTTTACTAGTTTTAATTTAGTTGTATTTTTAATATAATTTAAAAGATGTCTATACATATTTTGTTTTTACTTAAATTGAAAAGTGTTAGTAATTTTGTTGTTTTTGTCAATTTTTTTTATTATTTTTTATTTGTATTATTTTTATAACTTTGTCCACATACACTCTTAAAAATAAAGGTGCTTCACGATGCCATAGAAGAACCTTTTTGTCTAAATGGTTCCATAAAGTACCTTTAACATCTGAAGAACCTTTCTGTTTCACAAAAGGTTCTTTGTGGCGAAAGAAGGTTCTTCAGATTATAAAAAGGTAAGAAAGAGATGGTTCTTTAAAGAACCTTTGACTGAATGCTTCTTTGTGGAACCAAAAATGGTTCTTCTATGGCATCGCTTGAAGAACCTTTTGAAGCACCTTTATTTTTAAGAGTGTAGTATATTTTTAATAGCTTTAGTTTAATTAGCTTTAATTATTTTAGTAACTAAATAAAAATGACAATTGTTGCTTTGGCAACTAGCTTAAAATATGTTTAAGATTTTTGTTTTCACTTTAATTTTAGTGAAAGTTTAAGTAATAACTATAATATTATATTAAGTAACTATACAGTATTTATTAGTTTTATTTAAATGATTTTTTTTATTTTCATACATCAAGTTAAACTACATAAACTATCTTGACTATTTTGGCAACTAGCCAAGTAAAGTAAGTTTAAGTTTGCATTTTATTTTAATAACGTTTAATTTATTTTGAGTAATAAAAATGTTGTTTTATGGTTTGAGTCTTAGTTAAAAATAATTACCCTACAAGAGATCTTACTCTATTTGTCTAGAGAGTTAATTCCACACAGTCAGTTAT